CCAAACATTTTCTGACTTTGACAACCCCCAAAAAATAATGACCCCAGTAACCAAGGAAAAAAGCCCCATGTTTGGAACCCCAACAACAATGATGATCCCAGTCACCATGATGACCCCAGTGAAAAACCCCTCGCTGATACAAACAAATACAAACAGCCCTATATGCAAGTACCAAAGGGTTCAATATCGATTTTAAACATCTGAGCGTCTAGCAAAACCTCTGGAAGACCAATATGCCGCTCAGAGTATTTCTCGGTTGCTTTCTGCTCCCCTGCTAAAAGTTGTCACTTTCAATGGCTGAAAATACGGAAAACCAACATTAGTTGGCAAAAAAAAACAGTCCTAACATCCCTTGGCAAATGCACCAACGATTTGCCTCGCGCTCTCTCATCGCCTCTGCGTCTCCGGTTCGAGCCTCGCCTCCGGGCGCGGCTTCGCTCTCCGCCGCCGCAGGCGTTGCAGGTGTCGCTCCAGGGGCTCCTGGCGCGGTGAAAAGAAATCCGCGGACGGGAATGCGCGGACCGGAATGCCCCCGAAGACGCTGGTACAAGCACCCATGACCGAAGTTGGAAAAGGGGGGAGCCCTGGAAAAGACAGAAGGGAACTCTATTTTTTTTCTTGAGGGGGGGGGGTAATGTGGAGTGGTTTCGGAGCCCTAAACGTGGAATTCGAGCGGTCAACAAGGCCTCCTGCGCAATAGTATGGCACCCAAGATCCCTAGACAGGAATGAAATGTTGGTACCCTCCGGATGCCGTGCTAGTCGGGGCAAAATTCTTGGGCTGCAAACTTCATCGTGCAGAAGCAAGCAACCCCATCCCAGCCAAACAAAGCAGTACCTTCTGTTGATTGTAGGTCCGCCAGTAAAACACCTGCTAGTTTCCGCTTTGCAATAAGCAAGTCTAAATTGGTTGCTCAAAATGTTTATCCCGCCCAAACCCAACACATGCGGTCCAGTCGGTGATCGCGTTGGGGCTGCGGCAATCGATCGTCGCCGGTAAAACCTGGGCTCGACAAACGTCTGCCGATCCATCCCATTCCCCAGATTTGTCTGCACATCACCCGATGCAAATTCGCATATGGGCCAAGGGTGATCTTTAAAGCCGGCTGAAAGAAGCCGGGATGTACTGCTCTTCGAGACCATTGTGGGAACAGCGAAGAGGCAAACAAACGATCCTCTGCCTTGATCCTCGCGCTCTAAGCAGCTGGCACCACATCCGATGTCCTCATTGACACCTTACAGGCGCGAGGCGCAGGGAGGGAAAGGAAACATGTTTGCGGAACATACACCAAGTTAGGAAACACCCAATGAACCCTTTTGGTGACAGCGAATACCCCATCCCTGTGACTTCGTTGTCACTTGCAAGGGGATTCCCTCAGATCACAGAGAGTGGCCCCTTCGACCTTGTTGTGCACAACCACTGTGGGGAACGTAGCATTGTGCGTCAAACATCGCTGTGGGGCAAGGCAGCGTCACAGGGCAATGGATGGGCCCCAAACAAATCAAAGACCCAATGTGCTTGGCAGCAGTGGTAAGACGCCCCAATCTGCGTGTCTTCAAGAGCGTTCGACGGTTCCAAATGCGGTGAAGCAGTTTTGCAATCAGCTGCAGGTTGTTTCGGTGTAGGCCACAGTTTTGCGCCACTTGCAATGGAACATGGCTGTTACACGAGTGTCCCCGTGCGCTTCTTCGACACAACCAAGGTACACGTGTCATTGTATATTTGTTAAGGTCTCACTTCCTTCCAAGATGCCTCATACGCGGCGCAACATCATGGGTGTGGAATGTAGCGATCCGTGGCATAGCTGCTCTAAGGGGCCTGACTGGAAAGGTTCCATGGAGAGCACCCATCCAACCATGTTTGGCCGTTCCAAGCGATTTGACATGGCGGTTGATCAAAATTTCTTGGCTGGAATTAGGACCCCAGCAAATACATATATATACAGATATATTTCTGCCTGGTTCGTGGAAAATAAAGGGACCCAACAAAAAGCAAAAACTCCAAAAGGGCAGCTAATTGTGGGGAAGATGTGTGCTTTCTGAAAATGCAATTCTTCGCACGGGGAAACCATCTTTCGCGAATCTTTCGCAACAACATCCCAACGGCCGTTTGTTTCCAGTGTGCGCTCTGACAAAAGCCAGAAAGTATTGGCAGGCTTGCAGCAACGTCAGGCGAAAACAGTCGCTATCCTTCGTCCTTCCACTTGCTTTTGCCGTGACTGCTCTTTGCGACAAGCTCTCACGGTCTTTCGCCTTTTGCAGATCTTTCGCAAATCCAAAATAGCCGAGCCTATGTTTATGATTTTTTGTTTCCATTACCAGAGAAGGCAGGGAATCAAGGACACAAAGGTGCTGCGCATCCCATGCCGCCAAAAAGCTTTCGCTAAATAGTTCTCTTTCGCAGACTCCATCGCGGATCTTTCACGGGCACAACCGCCTACTGTGCTGTGGTCCTCCGCAGAAAATGTCCTTACCAATTTGATCAAGTTCTAGATCTGAACCCTGTCTTGACCGACAGCGTCCTCCTACAAGAAGTGAGCATCCACAGCTGCTCCCGTCGCAACTGAATGCTATGATGACATGAGTTGGGGCAGCTGGCGAGTCGACGAGCCATGATTGTTCCGGACCCAAAAGAACAAACAAACCACATGGCGGTATGGAGTGCGCTGATTCGGCGGGGCATCATCCTATGGAATCTAGAACAAGGGTCCAGGGCTTGTTTTAGGCAGCCGGCTCTCTCGGAGCCGTGTAACTGTCATCGAATCTGAGTCTTGGGGTTGGGGAGGGGGGTGGGGGGGGTGGGGGGGGTGGGGGGGGGGGGGGCCAATGAATGCGGCGCTTCTCTGTTGCGACCACCTGTGCTTGGGGTGGGGGGTGGGGGGTGGGGGGGGGGGGAATGAATGAATGCGGCGCTTCTCTGTTGCGACCACCTGTGCTTGGGGTGGGGGGTGGGGGGGGGGGGCCAATGAATGCGGCGCTTCCATTTCTGCTGTCATGTGCGCCATAGCCGACGGAGCCTCCAGCCTAGGTCATTTCAGCTTCTTCTCGTGTAATCCAAGCGTTCATTTTCGCATTATGTTTATGTGTTCCAACAAGCGGGATTTTGGGCATATTTACTACGTATGTTTCTTCCAGCATCCCACGACGGAGCCTCCAGCCTAGGTCATTTCAGCTTCTTCTCGTGTAATCCAAGCGTTCATTTTCGCATTGTGTTTATGTGTTCCAACAAGCGGGATTTTGGGCATATTTACTACATATGTTTCTTCTGGAAGCATATGAAACGCTGGCGCCCTGAGAGCCTGCAGCAAAAGCTGAAAAAAGACAGCCGCTGCAATCCTCTCATTTTTGACTGGGCCTTTAGTTTCGTTGCAAAGCACAATGCGAAGGCATTGAGCTCAGATCCGCAAAAGTTTCTGGCCCAGGCTCTTTGGGATTAGTCGCGCGCAAGACACGCAAGAGTATAAAGTGCGGGAGGCGCGCGGCTGACAGGTCCACAAATTAGGTCAAAGAACAAACTTTTCGGGGACCCCCTTTGCACAGCCCATGTCGCAAGAAGTTTGAGTCAAATGAGGCAAAAACACCGCAAATACCAGTGAATTTGCCTTCTCGCACTTCAAAACACGCAAAATGCTGTCGGTGACAGTTACACGGCTCCCAGAGAGCCGCTTGCCTTGTTTTACCCCCCTCCCACCCAACTCAAACATGATGTCCCCAAGGCTCAGAGCTACAACTCTTGTTTGCCAAGAAACAACACCCCCATGAAGTCCCTTGGTACCCCATTGTTGGTCTTCATCCACAAACCTTGGATCCTTTGGAGTGCGGTGCGTCAACCTCGGACAAGAGGCTCCGGGGTAACCAACATAAACATGTTCAACCTGCATTTGTTTAAACATTGTCCTTCCGCCGATGTTTTTTTCGTAAGGAGACCCAGAGCCTATTTCCAGAACATTTGGGCCTGTCCTTCTTTTGAGAGGGTAATTACCCTTTTGAGTGGTTGTTTGAAGGGATCCTTTGGACACCCATTTTTGGGGGCTCCCCAAAAACCATATCATTTTTTGCCCCACCCCTGCTGCATCTACCTTTGGACTCATCCTGATGCAATTGCGCAGCCGCAGTTTCCCTCAAGCCGATCTTAGGCACGGGGCAGCAGTACTCGATGTGCTCGGCGGACCACCGCTGCAAGCGGAGGCCCTGAGCGGGCCATTGACGTTTCACAGATGCCCCCGCCACATTCGTCTATGGAAAGCGAATGGCGCTTCCAGCTTCCACTTGGTTTGCTTTAAAGATCCAACCCTCGGAGAATGCTTGGTTTTGTGCCCCCGAACTCCAGAGCTCTCAAAAGCACACGCCGGCAAAAACAGCTCGCCCACCCTTGTTCTGTTGCCCCAAAGCCCCTTCATGGAGTCCAAGAACTAGGGGACCCCAAAGGGTGGGTTTTCAGTTGGTTCTTTTACACCCCAAAACGGGTAGCTAAAAAAGACGAGCCACCCATATTTCCCTGGTACCCACACAACTAATGATGGTGGAGGACCCTTTCATTGGCGGGTATGCCTCCCCATACATTCTTGGGTGGGAAGTTCCAAAGCTTCATTCAACTGAAACCCGTGCTTACATGACTGTGCTGGCAATTGGCATAAACTTGCTTGAAACCCAAAGAATCTATTGCCGAGTGTATTTCCCATAGGTTTTGCATGAAAGCACTGAATCTCTGCTTGTCCGCCCACCAGCCACTTTTGAGGTGGTTTGCTATTATAACATTCATACAATGCTGGAGGTGTATAATCCAATGTTTAAGCAAGCACAGGCGATTTTCATTCTTTGACATGAATCCCAGTTTAGAGTTCATCAACAAGTCCGGGACCCATTAAAACTTGCACCCAAATAGGGCATTTACCCAATGCATCACCGAAGCCGTTGGGCGGTCAATTGAATGGACACCCAAAAACAGCGGCGCCTGCGTGTCGCCGCAGTCGAAGGCCCCAGAATGCTGAGCCTGGCTGTGAAGGGACCGATAGGTGACTTGTTGATGCCTCATAGAGGTACCATGGGCTGCGGAATGAACCCAGGTCCCAAAAGGAAACCATCAGGGACGGCTCAGTTTCGGGCGTTCCAACTCATTTCCCGATCGGAGGAGCGATTTTTTTTGCAAAAATGATCTCGCCGGGTGGAGCTCCTTTAGGTTCTCTTTTGAAACAACAGTCAAAACGGTACCGCTACAAAACGATTTGAAGGTCCTCTATCTCAACACACCCTGGATTGAGCTAGCCCCTTTTTCGGGGTTCTCTTGAGGTGTCCGTTTAAACAGTTTAAACCCAACCTTCAAAATACGGGTCCCCTCGCACAACAACGCCCTCAAATGTATTCTTTCAGGAACTCCGTGTCCAAGGGGCCCGGCAAGAAAGCATTCCAAAACGGAGCTGAAAAAGGTTTGACTCGGTTGGTCACAAGGGTGCCCCTTTCAGCGAAAAACCCCACGCTCCCATAGAGCAGTGCCGAACAAAAGCTGGGTTGCGAACATCTGCCCTGTGAGCAAAACGGTCGTGATCTTTCATAGGTTTGATGGGGAAACAAATAACAACAACACTATTTTCCGAAAGGTCTACGGCACACCAAAGACCCCTTGCGGCGAACGCTTAGAACCGGACATTGCTGCGGGGGTCCCTTATCTTGCTGTGAACACATGTGAGAAGTACGCAGCATATTGCAAAGATGTTCTATTTTCATTGCTGATGTCTCAGGGGGACACGCTCTATCCCAGCAATAGCAGGTTTCCTCCGACAAAGGGTGTCTACGGAAGATTCGCCAAAGCAATGGTAGCTGCTACCTCCCGAGGTCAGGCAAAATAACAGCTGGCGGAGTGAGGTGCTGGGGCCAGGGATTCTTCGGGTATGTCGTCCCCCCCACACCACCCCAAACGGACCAACAAATTGCACCAACAGGTGGTGCTTAACCCACCCCAAAACCGGGACAGAATATGTGGCCCCAATGGCCCAATGGAAGCCTGGTAAATGGACAAGTAGACGAAACCTGCGTGGCTCCTAAATCTTGAGCCACACCCCTGCCCATACATTCCGGCCCCCTCCCTTTGGTCGGAAACCTGCGCGAGATGCTCGGCACGCGGGGCTGCTTCAAGGGGGGTGGGTGGATATCAGTCATTTCCGAACTGAACTGGTCAGACACCCCACTTTTGTTCACCACAAAAAAATGATCCACGGAAGGGGGCTGCTTTGGATTCCACCCAAACTTCGGGAAGTTGCCAGTCTCTCAAAGGCGTAGAACAACAATCATAACAACAAAGCGCCAGGTTCCCTCTTCCCATGGGACAACAATCAGCGCCTCTCCCACGTCGGTGAGATACGGCTTCAACGCCTGCGCGGTATGTTGCTCGGGTCTGGGCGAACTATCATGATCCTACACCCGAAACGAAGACCTTAGCAACCTTCATTCAGATGCCCAGCCTTGGGAACAAAAAGTGGTGATCCGTTTTTGTTGGTTGAGTTTAAAGGGGACCCTTCCCACACAAAAGTTGAGAAAAGGTCGAAATCCACTGGTTGCAACTGGGTTCATTCTGGAGCTCGGTTTACCCTCAGGGCTCGTTGTTTGACGGATTATTATGCCTATCTCTCGTAAACGCGGCTGAAATCCATTTCTAAAACCCATCGTTTCGAGCCGCCAGCTAAATGGTGTGCTCTCGACTTGGTCCCGGTCCCGGTGCTTCTGTATTGGGTACTGGCAATGTCAAGCCTTTTTCCATTGCTGGTGCATCCACCAGTTGCATTTCTCCCATGTCTCATCCCACCACAATGGCTCCATCAGGTCCATGTCTTCTCCGCGGGACAATTTTCGAGCCTGTGGGGTCCGTATTCACCTTTGCATCCCAAAGTCACATCCAGATTCCAGAGACATCAAAGACCTCGCAGAAAGGAACGTCAGTGAGTCACAACCCCAACCCAGCCATCCACCACAAAAGCAGAGTTGGTCCCAACATGAACCAAGGGCCAAATCTATCTTATCTGCTCTCATGCAGAGCGCAGCAGCACTGCATGCTTGGTCCAGGAACTTTTCGAAAGTGGGTCAGCTCGCAGGCTGAAAGAGGCTGCGAGAAGAACCCGGGTCCAACCAGACAAATCGATGGCATTGGTTGTTTACAACCAAAGTGAAACCAAAACCATCCATTTTCAACCAGACTGATCTCAAATTGTCACCCAGACTGATCTCAAAGTTTCAACCAGACTGATCTCAAAGATCCTCCAAGCACGTTGAAACCTGAGACGTGCTTAAACCCCTCCAAAAATAACATTGATCAATCCTGGAGAATAGATGCTTCATGGATGAGCCCATCTTGTGCCAAGCCGTCTCGTTCCATTTGGCGAATGCACGGAGAATCAGTCTCTGGGCCAAAGCGTTGAAACATTCAAGCGCTGGGCACGGGTCAAACGGGCCGTCCCAGTGTGGTCGAGTGGGACCTCTCGGGGCTTTGAATTGCTGTTTGCGGGAGTCCAAAAGAAAACTGCGGGGGTTCAACAGAAAACTCTCGGTTGCATTCTGCTCCCCTGCTAGAAGTTTAACTTTTAGTGGGTTCATGTAAAACCCATTGGTTGGCAAAAGTTGTTCAGTCCTAACATCCCTTGGCAACATGCACCAAAGGTAAAAAAAACACGCATCTTCTCAAAGGATCCAGCCAGCCCTGCCTCCGCCATGGCTTCCGTGTCTCTCGGAGCCTTTCTGAGAACGGGCTAAAGCCATGTTTGCCGTACACAGGGTCCGAACTGGGCCATCCTCAAACTTCCCCTACAAGATTCACTTGTAGTGGGGTAAACGGAAAAACTCCCACTCAACCAACTGAAAGGCTCAAAAGCTAAACCGGATGGCTGGGAACCACCAAGCGACTAACAAAAACTGTGTCTTTTGGATTTGGGCTCCCAGGTCTGCGCCCGCGCATCACGAACATCTGAGTGACAGGTCTCAACATTCGGATTTGCCACTGACGTCGTCGGGGTCTTTATAGAGCAGTGGCTTGTCAGGCAAAGTGGAAAACCAAATTTGTCTGTTCCAGGCTTGCCGCGTTGGCTTCAATTTGCACAGCCAATCTATGTTGACAACAGCCAATCGCCACGCGACCTTCGCCTCCAACTGTTGTTTCCGTTGCTTCCCGGGTTGCAGGGGAGGTGTTGGAAGCAGAAATGGCGCACTGGCTTCAGCGAGAGCATTTCACCGAAACTGGCGCCATGGATGCTTTCTCTAAGAAAGAAGTTGAAGCAACACCGGAGCCAGTTCTATTCAGCACGCGTTGCACACGTGCGTCTACCCGCTTGCGAGGAGTACAAGCCCACCTAGCAATGCTGGGTGAACGCTTGGAACGTTTTTCGAGTCAACTGAGCATTGTGTTTCGAAATCTTTGGACTCGACCAGGGACCTGAACAAACAAGACACCAGGTACAGGACAGCTTTCTACGAAACAAGCCCACACACCCGGTTGCTCCCATATATGACGCACTCAGTTTAAACTCTACCCCCTGTGGCCACGGCACGGGGGAAACAGGGCACTCCTTTTTGTTGGCAGTTGTTTTTTTAACGGGAACCCCCTCCGAAAAACAAGATAATACATGCATCATGGGTGTCTGTGTGCTGTCAAATGTCGACGTATTTGTCCTTTTGGAAAAACCCGCGCCTGCGTGGTCATCTGAACACCGCGCCGCCGCTGGCTGGAAGAAGCGGCCTCGAAATCCCGCGTTGGGCTGGCGAAAAGTTGTTCAAACCATCAACCCGTCTTGGCCCCATTCGGGGTACGCAAACAAATATTTCCTGATGATGTTTCATATTCAGTCTACCCTAAAATTTAAGATGGTTTTCAAGGAGACAGCAGCTGGTCCCATTTTAAGGGAGACCAAGAAAAGGTTGTTTAAGCAATCATCCCCCCGTGGGACGTTGAGGGGTACCTTCCTGCTTCAAAGAACGGTTCAACCCCCCAAACCAATCCAAACCACCAATGAAGTAAGTCACTTACATTTTGGATATCAACATGTTTGCTTGCCCTCCGTTGCAACTAGGCCATGGAAGATGTCCGTTCGGGTGGGGACCGTCCACAAGGCCTGTACATCCGCGTATGTGTCAAAATTGGGGGAACCCCTCTCCCCCCCGTGTTCCTTTTGGTTCCTTTTGAACCAACAAAAAACGGGTGCCCCAGAAAACGCATAAACCCATACGGAACGCAAATGTCCTCTTTGTCCTTTTCGGCATAGCCCCGTTGATCAATCAACAAGTGCGCCTGTTTTCCAGGATCCACGTTTGAACCTGAAAATACAAGGTTTCAAAAACTTTTGGGGCCATGACTACACCAAAAGGTGGAACCAGTTGCTCGTCTTTGAACCTGAAACTAAAAAGGTGATAACCGTTTTGGGGGCCATGACTATACCAACAGGTGGAACCCGAAAGGGCCAAAAGGCCAGTTTGGGCAAGTGAGGTTCTGCAGATGAATGCCCCCGTTGCACAAGGATTGCTTCACTCGGAATGAATTAGAGAAAGCGCAGGGCTACAAATAGGTCAGCAACACCATGGGCAAACATATTGAAATCCTGCCGATGATTACGCAAGGCAATGCGCGTGTAACCTTGCCCTGTTCTAGGAGTTGATCATTTTTGGTGAGGCACCACAACAAACACACACAAAGAGTGCTACTGAGCAAGTTGATGCTGATGTCCTTTGTATTCCCATGAATTCCCTTTGGAACCAGCCCCAAAAAGAGTACCTGGAATCTCCATGACCAGTAGCAATCATGGAGGCATTGGAGACTCCAGGTTCCCGGTCCGCGAACATGGCAACTGACGTTTCGGAATCGATTTTTTGGACCTTTCTCCTGTGAAAGGGGACCCTCTAGGCTCCATGGACTAAAAAGGGACTCTCTAGCCTTTAAAAAAGAACCTTTAAAAGGGACTCTCTAGGTTTCATGTTAGACGGGCACCTTAAAAGAAAAGCACACGCTTTGAGACGTCTGCGAGAGACCGCGCCTGGGTCGTCTGAATGCGCTGCCTTGACCGTGCCCACCGCGCCGAAGAAGCCTCGTACGAGGCGTCTGGCTGGTGCGAGGCGGAGAGGTCAGTTGACGGACCAAATCCGCACACCAAATGGCCATGGGTCAAAAGCCCAGTTAGCCCCAGTGAACATACCAATCCCCACTAAAATAGACTAACATGGGTGGTGCGCCTACCCCAAAATGGTACCATTGGTGTTGACCCACAGCCAAATGCCTTGGTCTGGCCCGGTGTCCGGAGTCATTGGATTTTCCCAATCCAAAAGCTGATCAATTTACTGGTGGTTTCCATTGAAACGATCGCCTCATTTGGAACATTAAGAAGGGACAATGGCGGAAACCCTGAGCGTTCAAAAAGTTTGCATCCAACTGCAGGATTCTGTTCCACTGTATTGACCAAGTTTTTCGGCGACCTGACCACATCCATGGTATACAGGTCAGTAAAAGTCACTTGTTGCTTTGAAAGTTTTGTGTTATTATTTAGAAGGGCAGCCTTCAGTTTTCCAGGCAACACGCCCCTCCGGTCGATTCATCTGAGTTTAGAATTGCCCACATTCACTCCAAGCCCTGGTTCCCTTGCGCCTTCAACGAAAGATCCTCAAGTTTAGAACCCCCCCCCACCCCCACCACATTTGTATTGGCTATCTTGAGAAGAATCGCGGCCCAACATGTACAAGCAACAACATCAGCAGGTGTTGGCTTGACTCAAGGCCTGAACAAAGGCGGGCTTTGATTCTGTCTTCCCCAAACAAACAACAATCCAAGTGGACGATTCGGGGAGCTAACTCACAAACAATGAACGCAACTCAACAAGATCCAACAGGGCCTAGCCGGTTTTCCGCCAGGAATGGTCAAGTGGCTGTCCCTTTGATCTCCCACACCCAGCATCAGGCGGATGGACATCGATCATAGCCGCTTGTGCGAAGGATCTCATGTGCCGTCCAACAAACCGATTGCAACCCTTGTATTTTCGAACTTGGCATTTATGCCAAAGCGTGAAGTCCGCACCCATTGGCCAAGCATAGGCGGCATGGTCGTCTTTGACACACTTCCTGAGTCGCCGACTAATTTGCGAATAACACAACTTTGCCAAGATATATGTGCCTTGATCAAAACTCCTTATGTGGGTGACGGTCGTGGCTAGCTACTAACCTTTACATTGATGATTTTCAAGCTATGGAGAGATTGATACCATCCCTAGTAACCCCAAATAAGAAAACAATGCTTTGAGCAGCCATCGTTTGAAGAGCGCAGTGGTCAGATGGTCATGACGCTCGAAGCAAGAGGGGCACTTGACCAAAGGGCTGTCAAAAGCTTTGGTGCTCCGCCCTGTTGGTGCCTTTCGCAAAGGAACCCAAACAATAAGCAAGGGAACAGCACAAACCAGCGGGATACGAAAGAAGAACAGGCTGGACCGAAAGGAAACCAAACAGGGCTGTGGGAAATGACCACTTCTGCGGTACAACAAGCAGGGCTTCCCAAAGACTCACCCCCCATGTAAAGGGGGAGATTCCCTTGTATCTGAGGTGGCATAAGTCCCTTGATCCCACAACCCTGAAACAAAAGGACAACAAATGGAGCAGAACAATAAACCCATACGCCTTCTGTATACCAGGTTCAGCAAACAAGACAAACAACTCAAGCAACACATACCCGGTGGACTCCTGGCAATCCACTTTAGAGCACTTGGAAGCTTGTAATCAAGTACTAAAAAAAAAGGTCGACACCCGCCAAGGACTCTTCAGGCACCACGGCTTAAGATGGCAGCCCTACCGACTGGGCGATCGAAGCCGCGCCTGCGGAGGTCTGGTCACACTCCGCGCCTGGCTTCGCTCGCATGGGCCCAGGCAAATGGCTGTGGTTCAAACCGTTTTGGGATCCCATTTTGGGGGTTTTCGGTGAATTCACCACCCATTTTAGAACCAATTTTAGTGGTTGGATTGTTGGATGTTCACTGGGGGTACGTTTTTTTGATTTTGACCCATGGCCAAATGGCTATGGCTCGAGCCATCCTCGACAGGCCACCTACCGTTGCGTCGTTGGGTCCTGGGAGAAGTTGCTGTTCGGTTCCCTAAAAAAAACTAAACAAATGAAACCATGGAAGTTTGAAGCGCGGACACGATAGAGCGGCTGGTGCAGCTTTCATGTCTGGTCCACTCCGGGTCGACATGTTCTTGTCTGCCGTGGCGTGTGTTTTGCCCTTTTTAAGGGTACAGTTCCCTGGGGTGAGGTAGGCCAGGCAAATCACACATACACACCCCTGTTGAGCCCCACTTTACAAAGGATCACAAAGGTTTTGCCCTTCTGTCCACCAACATGGAACCTACCGTTTCGGGGTCCTAGTTTAGACCTTTTTCCTTTCCTATGGACCCTCTGCTGGGTTCCGTGTTATTGGACAGGAGGGAATTTTCTGGGTTCGTCTCAAAATAGGGGACTCCTCTTAGTGTCCAATTGGAAAACAAAAGGCGTACCCTGAAAAAACGCCACACCCAGAATCACTCCATTTTCCCCTGGCCTCGCTCGGCGCCGGCTTGGCCGGCGCCCGCGCATGAGGCGCTCGCGGGTGCCGCGATTGGACCGGGCGGCCATTCTTTGTGGTCGCCTGGCAATACTTCCGAGTCCGGAGGGGGTTGTTTGGGGAAACCAAAGGAGACCTCAAACCCACATTTTTTGGGGGGGAGGGGGGAGGTTCCCCTCCACCTCACCACAAGGGCGGTGATTGTTCTTCCAAGGACTGATTGGTTTTGATGGAGTTCCGGGCTCGAGGGAACACAAAGGACATTGACACGGTCCCCACTCACAGAAACAAGTCTCTGCCAACCCAACTGTTGCAGGGTAGGGCGATGCCAGCAGCGTAGGGCGATGTCCTGATCCATGTTTGTATACATATATATATATATATATATATATATGTACCCGACCATATATATATATATATACACGTATGTACGGGCATGACTTTGAATCGAAACAAGGACCCTTGGTTCGTCTCGCATGACTGCCGTCTGCCCTCCGGAATTCGACGTCAACACGCTTCTAACTGCAAACTCCAGCAAGCCCGCTGGCATCTCAGGGTCAACCCTTTGGTGGCCACCATTTAGGTTGCCTGTCAGGGGGTTCCCCATTGAAATTCATAGCATACATATGTATACATGTATTATTGTATGTGCATATATATATATATGTGCAACATGTGCACACATGTATTCAAGCCGCATATGAGAAGACCTGCCTCACCTGCTAAGTTTGGCCATATTTGGCAAAAGTTACCGGCTAAGGCTAGGGGCCTCTTTGAGGCCTACTTCGTGGCTGCTTTTGCGCTGATCCATGTTGAAGACAACTACCCGACATAAGCTGAAGGGCTTACAGGTAAGGTACCTAGGTCCTCCAGTAGAGAGGTTAGAATAAGGGTACCTTATTTTTTTCTGTAATCTATTTTAGAAGGGGAACCCTCCCCCAAAAAAGAATTGGTGAAAGGGTACCTATATGGAGGACCTAGTCAACCTCTTGTTTGCTTCCCCTTGAAGTTCAACTCACTCGCCTGTGCCGCGCTTCGCAAACCCTGAGGATGAGCGTGTGCCTCGGCGACGACTTGGCCACATCTGCGCAGTGCCGTGGATGTACTAGAACCATCATAGGAGGTAGAACCTACTAGAACTAGCCACTGAGTCAAAATCAAGACCTGGCAATTATTAAAATGGTCTGACCAGAACCCTTTGAATTGCAGGGCTGCCGCTTGCAACTTTTTATTGGGGGGGAGGGAGGGGAGGGGGAGGGAGCCCAAATAAGCCCTTATTAAGCCCCTAATAAGGCCTTATTTGGGACTTATTGGGCTCCCCCCCCTCCCTCCCCCCCAGCCCCCATGATTTATGGTTTGGACTGCCCCTCACAACCTACCCAGTTGCGTACGGGGTCACCTACATGAGACAGCCGCAAGGAGGCCACAAAGAGCCGACCAAGAGCCATGCTTTTTTTTGGCCGACTCAGGCCGTTTTGGAGGACCCAAGAAATCTATGTATATATTTATATATATATATATACATATTGAGAATGTATATATATATATATGTATTTACATACACACAAATCTATCTTTTCGGACAATAAGAAACTCAGCCCCTGCTCACAGCCCATCGCTTTCACAAGGCGTCCCCAAAAAAACAGCCGCTGTATCGATGTCCGAAGCTGAGCGCTTTGCTTGTGGCTTCACCAGCAAGACGACCGCTGCCACTGCCTCTCCGGACCCGGATTGGAACCCCCAGCGAGCTGGGAGTCAAATCAGTCACTTCATTGGGATACGGCGCACTACCTCTGTGTAGCCTTCCCCTCGCCCGCCCAATCATTGTAAACATGCGGAATAAACAATCCAGTCACCTCATTGGTCTCAACAGGGATCATGGAATCCCCTTCTTGGTTGGGGAAAGGACAGCAAACCAAGTGCAGCCTTGTCCCTGAAGCCGTATGCCTTTTCAAGAACCATTGGTCGGGGAAAGGAAAGCAACCCAAGTTCAGCCTTGTCCCTGAAGCAGCCATAGACGGTTTGTCAAGAACTATTGGTTGGAAGCAGCCGTAGACGGTTTGTCAAGAACCATTGGTTGGGAAAGGAAAGCAACCCAAGTTCAGCCTTGTCCCTGAAGCCGTATACCTTTTCAAGAACCATTGGAATGAATCTAGCCGGCTCACTGAGGGCCAGTAGAAAAACCGAGCAACCCGCCGCGAACAGCTGGATCGTGCGGCATGTGGGGAACTAAGGCTGTTCCTACAGTTGCTTGGACGGAACATGCACGGGTTTCCTTGGCTGCTGGTCGTCGCGCCAGCTACCTGCCTTTTCTTTAAGAAGCGTGACGACGCAACTTCTGAGAAGCGTCACCCAAGGCCAACTTCCAGAGGGGAGCATGCTGCCCAGTGGATCCCAGACAAGCCACCAGAGTGGAAACGCTGGATGCCTTACATATTACAAATTAACCAACCACAATCCGTGAGAATCTGCAGGGCTTGCGTTGTTCGCTTGCAATGTTTCGGGCATCCACTGTAACCAGCAAACTTTGTCTAGCTGGATGCCTACGATGGAAAGTGGAATCAGGGCTCAACGGCTAAGGCAGATGTTTCTTCGAGAACCAGCCGGGAATTCCACCAACGGCACCCTTTTGACCTTGCTTAATGTAAGAAACCAGAATCAAAACTCAGTTTCATGAACAGTCCAAAGGAAAACCGCCAGTTTGTGGGCTTCATCAAAAAGTTGAAACAAAAAGCACCAACACCACCACCAAAAAGTCCAAAAAAACACAAAACAAAAACACCATGTTTCTCAGACATATGTACTTCATTCTGACCACGTCACTTCACCTGTACCCAAGCTCTGTGTCAGCTCGGCGCAGCTCCGAGGCTCCCGGCAGCCACCAAGACCAAGATGCAGAGGGCGCCTATGACCTCAAGCCGCGCAAAAAAAAAAGACACGTCTCAGAGTCTCGGGCTGGGAGTCCAGGCATCCAAAGTAAAAAAAACCGACCGACCGACCAAACCAACAAAGCAAACAACCACCAAAGCAACAGAAAGAAAACAAAGAAGCCACGAAACATTTCCGGACAAACAAAACAAGCGAAAAAATCACGCAAACAAAAAGACTCTAGCCAAAGACTGAAAAAAGTGCACTTTTTCAGAAGAGCACAAACACCCGATGAGTGAAATGAACTTCGACAACAAGAGTTGTGCCTTGAAGCCTTTGGCGGTAAACAGTAGGGCTTCCTGGTATTTGCCTTTATATGCCAAATAAGTTGGGGGTTGCCATTGTGAGAAACTCCCGTCAGGCCGATAAGGACCACTAAGGCCCACAGCTTTGGATGATATCCGCAACAACTCTCCTACCTCAGCCTGGCATCGGTGAAGAAACTTTGTTCACCACGTCACTAGACGCTCATCCAGTAGACAATGATGGCATGTCCATCAGGGTGGTACACCTCTGCAAGCTTGATGGCCTGTCTTGGTTCGTGCATGGGAAAAGAAAGCCAAGCCCAGACTCATACAAAGCTCCGAAGACACTGCGTGCTTCGCAAAAGACACAAAAGCACGCAGGAGTGTTCCACGTGAATTTCCAGCCCTGGCCAAATCCCAACCACCTTGTCCGACTGGGTGCTTCCCTAAACGGATCCGACAGGGACCTTCCCCAAGCTCGTGATGGAAGTTGGAGCCCCCCCAAAATACCAGAACTTGTGTTACGGGGCCCCTTTCAGTGCGGTTGGTTGGAACCCCCGAAGGTACCGCAATTTGCCATGGGTTTGGGTTCAGCTGGTTTACCGGCAATCTGGCAAAGACCAGATTTGGTACACCTTGGCTGAACAAGAAGTGCAAAGGGCATTCCTATGACCATTGATCATGGAACCCACCTCACTGATTTTGGTCCCTGGTAGTGGAGATAGTTGAAACAAGGAACCCTGGTCGTCGGAAATGCTCAAAGAATGCGCTTAATGGGTCACCAGCGGCCAAATCATGCTTCAACACGGTCGAAACTTGTGGCCAGAAACGAAAACAGCATGACCGCGGGCTTAATGGGTCGAAATTCGCGCCTGCCACAACCACTCAGACTCTCGCCGAGGGAAGCTTCGCACCATCATTGCCGGATGCGGGCTGCACAACTCCAGCAGATGCCTCAGCCAGCGGCTGCGCCCGCAGCAAGACCCCCTCCGCCTCCCTCAAATTTCCATGACAAAGTCAGCCATATTTTCACATGGCCTAAGTATGCTTCAAACACAGGCACATGCTAACCAGGTGTTGGACCAAATTGACCCCGAGGTTTCTTGGCTGGTGGGATAGGACAGCCACCTCCGCCAAAGGCCCCTGACCGTCTGTCCAACCATCATGGTGGGTTCAGCAGTCGACCAAAACCGCAATCCTCATCCGCTCAAATGCCGGCCACTCGCTGGCGGCCGGCGGCGGGCTTGGCCGCAAGGTGGCCCCGGGGGGATTTCCGTGTCAGGAAACACCCAAAGGAGAGTGCCACACTGAGAGGTGTGCGGCATCTCATGCGCTCAGGTGTTTGTTCTTTTTTGGAAAGGCATTCCCTGGGTGGGCTGGTTGGATCCGGTACTTGCCAGTGGAAACACTCAGAGGCAACTGATCAGCGGCTAATAGTTGAAGCACCCTAGCTTGCCCATGGGCTGCGCGATATTGAGAACATGGACAGCCTGGTGTGCTTCGTTTGAGTCATGTCTATGGCATGCCGTGACACATTGGACGGTGCAATGATGTTTCTGACAGCAGGCTCACGGTGGCCTGAACCCTGCCAAACTTGTGCAACGATGCTGATTCCTCAGCTAGCCAAGAAACGAATCTTGGCTCAGCAGCACTGCAGCTGTTCATTGCAGAAAATGTCAAGTGGGAATGATCATGACCACCCATACAATTACGCTCCGCAATCATATGTATAACACGCATCACATACCAGGAGTTGCTGCCAACCGCCGAAGCCATCATCGTGTATACAGGCAACACTCCGACACCGCTTGAAAAAAGGAGCATCCACCCGCCCCTAAAACCACCCGCAATGAACAAAATGACGCTTGCTAAGGCAAACCTTCCCGATTTTGGCGCCTTCAGGTTGGGAAAACAAATTAGCGGGGATACCAAGAAGCGGGGATGTGCGAGGATTCACTGTAAAGCCAACCATGCCTAGTATTACCCCAAAAATATGTCCACATCCCTCCTTCCCCGGCATCCCTGCTATTGTGTTTGTCGGATAAGCCTCCATCTGCTTAAGCCCCCTGGAAAAAGAAAAAATATGTCCAGTAGTGATAGATTGCCTTTAAACCAAAGGGGAAAATAAAAAAAAAAAATATTCCCAAGCAAATGGAAGTAAGGGAACAACAAGCCGGGACTCCTCTCAACCCGATCCCCTTATCCCGAGCCTGTGGATCAGGCGTTGCGCTGCCCAGCAAAGGGACTTTGGCCTCCGGATGCGGGGAGCGGGGAGCGGGGGAGGATTTGAGAGTGAAGAATGGTCGGCAAGCACCTGTAGGGAATCTGGGCTATCCAAACCGATCCCCTGCTAAATGTTGATAACTTTTAGTGGGTTGAATGGAAACCCCTAAACCAACCAAAAACCTAGAAACCTACGGGGACGGCTGGGGAACCGCCAAGGGAACGTCTTTGTCTCATGGTCCAATCGGCCAAGTGGACTTCTCACAGTCGCTGGAATCCCACGGACCTTGAAGAGTGTGTGGAAAGACGCGGATCTCTGGGTTAAGTCTCACGTGGATATATTACATTCGCAGGCCTCCCCCCATGAGCTACCATGTGGGTGCTGTTGCAATGTCTCAAGGTTAATGATTTATGTATATATATATATCAGCATGACCACGTGGTCAGATATGATTTGGGTGAGGTACGAGTAGGGTAAACTTTGGTCGGTGTCCTCGTGGTTTCCTCTCAATCACCATCCAAAAAGCGTTTCCTTCTTTGGCCACCCCCCAAACAAAGAAGCAAGCTGGCAAAGTTCCATTGAACACGAGGCTTTCCTTTTGGGGTGGCCATCCTGCCACTATGTTTGAAGAATGCATCCACTTACTAGCCAAGCGGCCATGGAAAAAAAACGGCCACTTTTTGCTGGACAACTGGACATACCATGGCCGATACATGGGTGTCTTTTTCTGAGGCCCCAGCCCCAAAATAGGTTGCCTCCCTTTCCCGCTAACTCAACCCCCCCCCAAAAAAAACAACTCGGGAACCAAATGCAACGCCAACTTTAAAGATGGCCAGAAGTGGTAATGTTTCACACAACCAGGCGGGATGTGGGGCCCCGACAAAAAAACAACAACACATCAACCGCAAAACAACAACTGAAAGGCGACGCGTGTCTTGTTGACTGCTGGGCAAAGGGGGTGTGCAACCCTGGAAGCGCTTGGTTCATGCCTTGACCTTTGTTGAACCAAGCTCCTTGGCCCCCTTGGTCTATTTGTTTGACAGGTCACTAGATTTCCTCTTCAAAAGTTGTCCAATTTGCTGCTGATTTCAACTGCCACTTTGGTAGGATCCAAAAAAGGAAATGGAGGAAACCCCGTTTGACCCCAGGAACCAGCGCAACCCGCCACCCAAACCCAGCTCTTCAACGCGCCCAGGGCAACTCGTGTTCGCCTCAACCCACCCAGCCAAAAACCCCAGTCCACCCATCGCCTCAGCTTCCTCCAGTGCCCGGTCACTGTGCGTGGGCTTGGCATGCGCCTGATCCCCATGGGAGGGAAAAACAGTGACTTTTCTCTTTTTCTTTGGGGGGGGGGGGTTGAAACTCTTCAAACCACCAGGAAAACACCCATTTCCTAGTTGTGATGCTTCACACAATTTCTTCCAGTCATTCGGATTCAATCTATGTAGATCTAGTTGAAAGGGAAACACCCATGCAAAATCCAGGCCGTCACAAGCAGTTGGACACATGGACGGGGCCTTGCAAAGTGACCTCAACCGGAGCCCTTCTGAAAGGCTCCTTAGCCATGGCGCAAGAACTCGCCCCTTTCCCTGGACACACATACACAAGCGAAACCAAAGCAACAAAAAACAAAACAAACAAACAAATCAACAAACACACACACACACACACACACACACACACACACACACACACACACACACACACACACACACACACACACACACACACACACGCACACACGCACACGCACACGCACACGCACACGCACACGCACACGCACACGCACACGCACACGCACACGCACACGCACACGCACACGCACACGCACACGCACACGCACACGCACACGCACACGCACACGCACACGCACACGCACACGCACACGCACACGCACACGCACACGCACACGCACACGCACACGCACACGCACACGCACACGCACACACGCACACGCACACGCACACACGCACACGCACACGCACACGCACACGCACACGCACACGCACACGCACACGCACACGCACACGCACGCACACGCACACGCACACGCACA